CAACAACGTACGCATATGATAAGCTCATATATGTTCATAGAAAATATAGAACTATTTTGATGCCAAGAAAAAAGAGCATTAGAGAGAACTCTATATTCTTGTTTCTATAGAATAATCTTTTAGTATATATAGATTATTCTGAGGAATTTCTAGCAAAAAATAATGATCTATTCAAAGAATTTTACTCGATACTTTCGAGAGAAAGAGAAAGATCTCCTTTTATTCTTATACGTTTTCTCTTCTAGTTAATATTCCTGCTAATGCTAAATGGGCACAGAACGGAGTGACTATTGCTGGAGGTAACGGGGCGGGGGGTGCCACTAATCAACTCTACCGCCCTTTTGGTCTCTTCGTTGATGATGATCAAACAGTGGTTATTGCTGATCACGCGAATCATCGTATCATGCAATGGAAGAACGGTGATACAACGAGTGGACAAGTTGTTGCTGGTGGTAAAGGCCAAGGAAATGGATTACATCAATTGAATTGGCCAACTGATGTATTAATTGACAAAGAGACGGATAGTCTCATTATTTGTGATGCAAGGAATGAACGAGTTGTACGATGGCCTCGTCGTAGTGGTACAACACAAGGTGGAATACTCATCGACAACATCAATTGCTTTGGAGTAGCAATGGATGAGCAGAGATATCTCTACGTTTCTGACGTCGGAAAACATGAAGTAAGACGATATCAATTGAGTGAGAAGAATTGCACTCTCGTAGCTGGTGGTAATGGTAAAGGTAATGGACTCAGTCAACTCAACGATCCGAGATATCTCTTTGTCGATCGACAACAAAATGTATACGTATCAGACAACAACAATCATCGTGTAATGAAATGGAATAAAGGTGCAAAAGAAGGTATTGTGGTCGCTGGAGGACAAGATGAAGGGAGTGCTCTGACACAATTGTCTTATCCTAATGGAATCTTCGTTGATACGTTGGGTACACTCTATGTAGCAGACTGGATGAATCATCGTGTAATGCGTTGGACTCAAGGAGACAAGAAACAAGGCGCTGTAATTGTGGGTGGAAATGGCGAAGGAAAAGGAGCAAATCAGTTCCAGTACCCCATTGGTTTGTCTTTCGATCGGCATGGTAATCTCTATGTCGCCGATGCGAATAATCATCGTGTTCAACGATTTTCTATCGAATAAGACGTGTGAATTGTTTTTTCTTTGTTCGTTTGTTTTTCTATACTTTGAAATAAATGAACAAAAAAAAGAATTTTCTTTTACTCTTTCGCTTCAAAGAAAAGAAAAAAATATAAAAATTACGCCATATGTTTCTTTTGTTCTTCTTCGTTTATTTATTTATTTGTTAAATGAAAAGAAATGGATTAAATAAAAATTATTTTTCGCAAAAAATATTAATTATTAAAGTGAAAAAAATAAATTGTGTTTTTGAAAATATTTATGATTTGAATCAAAAAATAAATTTTTGTATTATTTTCATAAAAATATTTATTAGTAAAATTAATTTATTTTATAGTGAAATAAAAATAAAATTTGAGTTATTTTGAAATTATTTATTGTTAACATAAAAACTTTTATTGTTGAAGTTAAATTATTTATAAGTTAAAGTGAAAAGAAAAAGATTTGAATTATTTAAATAAAGTTTATTTGAAAAATCGAAAAAAACAAGTTACAAAAAAAAATAAAATAACAAGAATGAAAAATAATTATACTTACATTCGTTTGAATTGAATTGAATGGAATTGAATTGTTGAATGGAACTAAAACGAAACAAGCAGAAATAAATTGATTGAAATGAAAATTTATTTTTTTTTGCTTACCAGCTAATAGTTGCTCGCGCGAGCAAGAACTACCTTGGTGGTGCCATAGAGAGCCGAGGCTCTTCACGTACAGACATAGATCTAGCGTGTATAGAACATACAACAGGAAGATCTATATGCGGCCTGTACGTGCTATGGGCACCAANTTGGTCGCGCAAGCAACTATTAGTTGGTAAGCAAAAAAAAAGAATTTTTCATTCCATTCAATTTATTTCTGCTTGTTTCGTTTTAGTTCATTTCTTCAACAGCAACGTAAATTCCTTTCACTTATCTCACTCCAAACAAATAAAATTAATTTTTATTTTTCTGTTTTAGTTCCATTCAACATTTCAATTCAATTCAAACAAATGTAAGTATAATTATTTTCGATTCTGTTGTTTTATTTTTTTGTAACTTTGTTTTTTTTTCGATTTTTCAAATAAATTTTATTTAAATAACTCAAATCTTTTCTTTTCACTTTACTTATAAATTATTTTATTTTATCAATAAATATTTTCAAAATAACTCAAATCTTTTTCTTTTCATTACAATTATAAATATAATCATTTCAACAATAAATATTTTTATGTTAACAATAAATTATTTCAAAATAACTCAAATTTTATTTTACATTTGAATAATACTAATTTTCATTTAAATAACACAAATTTTATTTTTCATTTCAGGAATAAATATTTTTATTTCAAACAATAAATTATTTCAAAATAACGCAAATTTTATTTTCATCTCACTAATAAATAAATTATTTTACTAAAAAATTATTTTACTAAAAAATTATTTTACTAAAAAATTATTTTACTAATAAATATTTTTATGAAAATAATAAAAAATTTTATTTTTTCATTTAAATCATAAATATTTTCAAAACGATTTATTTTTTTCACTTTAATAATTAATATTTTTTGCGAAAAATAATTTCTATTTAATTCATTTCTTTTCATTTAACGCATAAAAGAAGAAGAAAAGAAACATATGACGTAATTTTATATTTTTTTCTTTTCTTTGAAGCGAAAGAGTAAAAGAAAATTTCATTTTTTTGTTCATTTATTTCAAAGTATAGAAAAAGAAACGAACAAAGAAAAAACAATTCACAAGTCTTATTCGATAGAAAATCGTTGAACACGATTATTAACTATATCGACGACATAGAGATTACCATGTCGGTCGAAAGACAAACCACTGGGATTGCTGAACTGATTTGCTCCTGCTCCTTGACCACTTCCACCCACAATTACAGTGCCTTGTTTCGTGCCTCCTTGAGTCCAACGCATTACACGATTAATCCCCTTGTCTGCTACATAGAGTGTACCCAACGTATCAACGAAGATTCCACTAGGCCAATATAATTGTGTCAGAGCACTCCCTGCGCCTTGTCCTCCAGCGACCACAATACCTTCTTTTGCACCTTTATTCCATTTCATTACGCGATGATTATCGGTGTCTGATACGTAGACATTCTGTTGTCCATCGACAAAGAGATATCCCGGCGAATCGATTTGATTGAGACCATCACCTTGCCCATTTCCACCAGCTACGAGAGTGCCATTCTTCTCACCCAATTGGTATCGTCTTACTTCATGTTTTACGAAGTCAGAAACGTATAGATATCTCTGTTTATCCATTGCTAATCTCGAACACCAGATGTTGTTGATGAGTATTTCACCTTGTGTTGTACTACTACGACGAGACCATCGTACAACTCGTGTGCCTTCACAAATAATGAGACTATCAGTCTCTTTGTCAATTAATACATCAGTTGGCCAATCCAATTGATGTAATCCATTTCCTTTGCCTTTGCCACCAGCAACAACTTGTCCATTCATTGTATCACCGTTCTTCCATTGCATGATACGATCATTCCCCCAGTCAGCAATAACCACTGTTTGATCATCATCAACGAAGAGACCACTAGGGCGGTAGAGTTGATTAGTGGCATTCCCCGCCCCGTTACCTCCAGCAATAGTCACTCCGTTCTGCTTCCATGTAGCATTAGCAGGAATATTACCTAGAAGAGAAAACGTATAAGAATCGGATGAGATCTTTTTCTCTCTCGAAAGTATCGAGTAAAATTCTTTTGAATAGATCATTATTTTTTGCTAGAAATTCCTCAGAATAATCTATATACTGAAAGATTATTCTATAGAAACAAGAATGAATAGAGTTCTCTCTAATGCTCTTTTTTCTTGCATCAAAATAGTTCTATATTTTCTATGAACATATATGAGCTTATCATATATGCGTACGTTGTTGTATTATTTTCCTATCTTGAGGATGTCAATTTACATGGGAGTCTATATTTTCTATGAACAGACAAACATATACAGTAAAACCTCTCTATAATGAACACTAACGGGACCCTTGAAAAAGTGTTCATTATATGGAGGTTTTGCATTAACTGAAGTCTTGCATGTATACAGCTGGTATGAGAATGGTCCTCCTTTTCCTCCTTTTGTCATTTAAGATAAAAAATCAAAATTTTAAATATTTCAAGCAAAACGTTTTGATGAGCCAGCAATTCAAAAGATATTTCAAGTAATTCATATTAGCATTAACACGACAAGGTATTAATTTTCAAT